CCTTCCAGCCCACTCAGCATCCCCGCATTTTGGCCCCCACAGCCCCTCTCACGACAGAATCACAGAATCACAGAATAATGAGGTTGGAAGAGACCTCTAAGATCATCGAGTCCAACCCATGCCCTAACACCTCAACCAGACTGTCGCAGCAAGTCCAGTCTTTTTTTAAACACATCCAGAGATGGTGATTCTACCACCTCCCTGGGAAGAGCATTCCAGTACTTTATTATTCTTTCGACACCCCCATCCCTCCTTAGGTCCGCTCAGAGCCCCCTCCCACAGCCCGACCTCCCTGCCCTGCGGTCCCCCGTGTCCCTGTCCCGCCCCTCCCGCGCCCCGCAGAACTGACCCAGCCACCGCGTCCCCCGCGGGGGCGGCAGCACCCACGAGCGGGGTCGACATTGCCGTGCGAGGGCACAGCCTCGGCCACCGAGAGCGGCCTTCGCCCGCGCCGAGAGCGGAGCAGCGACCGGGGCGCGGCTGAGCGGGGCCAGCGCGGCCGGGAGGGACAGCCCGGCCGCTGTCACTCGGGGACCGCCGGTGCCTGGCAGCCCTGGAACGTTGTCGCTGTGCCGCTGGTGGCCATGGAGCCGTGCTGGGAACAATGGAGCCCCCGAGGATTCATTACCGTGGGACCACGCGTCACTGAGGGGTTTGGGCTGGACGGGACCCTAAGAGGTGATCTCGTTACAGCTCCGCAGAGCGGAGGGGCAGCGTCCCCTCTCTCACCCTCCTCTGGCCACTCCTTCTGCTGCAGCCCAGGATGTGTTCAGCGCTCGCTGTTGGCTCGGGTGCAGCTTTTCCTCCACCGGAACCCCCCAGTTCTCTGCAGGGCAGCTCTCAGCTCTTCTACTCTGTGCTGGTGCCTGGGACTGTCCCTGCTTTGGTGCAGCCCCTTCTTTATTGAACTTCACCATAAAAGCCCCTGGCTTTATTGAACTTCACCATGTTCTCTTGGTCCCACTTGTCGAGCTCGGCCAGGTCCCCCTGGATGTCACCTGCACCGAAGCTTCGTGTCACCTTTGTGAACACGCTGAGGGTGGCCTTGAGCCACTGTCTGTGTCAGTGAGGAAGGGACTGCAGAGCCCCGGTGCCACCCAGAGCTCTCAGGGACACCCTGGTCACCAGCCTCCCCCAGGACAGGGGGCCACTGCCCACAGCCTTCTGGCTGCAGCTCATCCCCCAGCCCTCACAGCCGTGTCCCCCAGCTCGGGGATCAGGATGTCCTGTGGCACCGTGGGCTGGGTTTCTAAAGGGGATGAAGGAAGCTCCAGGCAGAGGGTGCAGCTGTGGATTAGAGAGGGGAGGGGGAAGGATGGAGCCACCCTCGGGGTGTGTGTGTCCCCCGCAGTGTCCCCACACAGCCTATCTCTCCTGACCCAGCAATGGCAGCAGAGCCAGCTCCGGGCTGGGGTGCAGCCCCCCAAAAGCAGGGCAGGATTAGGGTGTCTGGGGATGTTGCTGTGTCACAGTTTGGGGTGTGTAACGACAGCCCCTCGTGTTGAGGAGCACATTTAGTGCAGAAAGCTGGCGGGGCAGCTGCCCTGGGAGCTGCAGGGTGAGCTCTGTGGGGAAAATGGCCAGAGCCCCCAGCAAGTGGCCAGGACGTGGCACTGCCCCAAAGGGCCCAGGGCCCTGCAGTGCCAGGCAGGTAACCGGGCACTCGGACACAGCAGGAGAGGATGGCTGAGCAGGAAAACCCCACTGCCAGGAGGGGATGGAAACCTGGGGGGTTCTTTGTTGGGGTCCCTCCCCAGAGGCTCCATCTCAAGATGTTACTGAGCTGCTGCAGCATGATAAAATTCCTTAAAGGAAGCAGAGTCTGGGACTGCTCTCTGAGAGCCCTGGGGCTGAGCTGGAGAGGAACACAGGAGCAACTGTGGGATGGGGTGTGGGGGAGCCAGCAGGGCCCCCGGGGCACTGCTGATGGCCTTGGCCCCAGTGCCAGTCTGGGGTGGGAGTGCAGCTGCCAGAGCAGCTCCAGGATGGATGACAGGGAAGTTTCCTGAACAGTTTCTGACCCAGATGGGACCCCAGGTCACCTTCATTCTCCAAACATCCAACTGCCAGCACCAGGTGACTGTCCCAGTACATCAATATGTAGCGAACAATCAACCCTTTTTTGTGATTTTATATTGATAATACTTTCTGGCCTATGGCAACCCTGTTGACCTTAATTTTGTTGTTTGGTAACTGCAATAATAATGTTTGTCAGGGCAGTGAAACTTTTCCCTTTGAGTATATCATCAGGAATGCCCCATTGAGATCAAGGGAGGAAATCCTGTTGAGGAATCTCTGGAGCTGCTGCTGTGAAGGGGCTTCAGTCCCAGCAGTGCCAGTCTGGAGGGGCAGGAATATGACTGCCAGAGGGGCTCTGGGATGGATGGATGGATGGATGGATGGATGGATGGATGGATGGATGGATGGATGGCCAGAAAGTTTCCTGAACAATTGCTAACCCAAATGGGACCCCAGCCCACCTTCCTTCTCCAAGCACCCAACTGCTGATGCTGGATGAGTTCACCTGGGATCCTTGCAGCAGGGAGGAAACAGAGGGAAAGTGTTAAAATTTCCTGAGCAGGTTCCACATCAGTTCTTAGAGTGGGTCTGAGTCTCTCCGTGGTGCAGCATTCTGGTGCAGTTACTGCAGCGGGTCGGGTACGGGGCCGGGCTGTGCCTGCACTGCTGCGGGCCGGGGGAGCAGGCTCTGAGCCGGGCTGGGCGGGGACAGAGCGAGCCCGGAGTCCTTTAACCATTGTGAAGGATGCAGTGGGAAATGTTTACAATCCTGGGCTGTACCGTGTGCTGGACACTGTGCTCAGTGCGCGGCGATTCCTTCCCGAGGCACTTCCACGGCAGATCTCCTGTGCAGCTCCCAGGCCGCCCGTGCCGGGCCGCTGGGCACAACCCCGGGGAAGGAGCCGCTCCCTCGGGAATGCCGCGGTGCCCACGGAGCCTCCTGGGAAGGCGATCCAGGGCGATCCGCAGGGAGAGGCGCCGCGGCTCCAAGCCGCTCCTGTAACTATTCAGCCCACAGCGATGACACCGTCCCCTCAGCCCCTCACGACCTGACGTCCTCTTCAGCCACGGCCTCCTCACTGTGCCTGCACCTCACCTCCTCTGGGGCCACAAAACCCCTCGCACAGGGCACTGCATCCACTCAGGCCCCCGGCCCCGGCCCCGGCCCCGGCCCCGGCCCCGGCCCCGGCCCCGGCCCCGGCCCCTCCCCCCCGGCCCCGGCCCCGGCCCCGGCCCCGGCCCCTCCGCTCCAGGCGGATTCCCGGCCCCCGCGTTGACTTTAAATTGCCCGCGAGGCCCCGCCCTGCTCCCTGAGTGGCTTCGCGCCGCTTTCGGGCTCCCATTGGCTGCGTGCCGCGTGGTGCCTCATGGGGGTTGTAGTCCCGAGCCCCTCGCGAGGCGCCATGGGCGCTGCGGTCTCGTCGCCGCCTGCGCCCCCTGCCGGCGGCAGCAGCAGCAGCAGCTCCGAGCCCGGCGGCGGCGGAGCGTGGGAGCTTCCGGGGGTCCTGGCAGGTCCCGGGGGGTCCTGGAAGGTCCCGGGAGTCTCGGCGGGTCCTGGAAGGTCCCGGGGGTCCCGGGAGGTCCTGGAAGGTCCTGGAAGGTCCCGGGGGGTCCTGGAAGTTTCCAGGGGTCCAGGTGGGCCTTGGAAGGTCCCAGAGCCCCTTGAGAGGTTCCGGAGGGGCCGGGAGGGGCCGGGAGGGTCCCCTGGTTGCGCTTAGGCCGCACCGTTCTCGGGGACCGTCTCCTCGAAGCTGCGATCCAGCCCGGCCCCGCCGCCGCCTCCAGCCGGGATCGGTGCTGGGGGACAGCGGCGGGATCCGCCGGGGCTTGGGACACACGGACAGAGCTGGGGGAAGGAGCACACCTGGAACACACACACATACCGGGAACACACACACATCTGGAACACATACACCTGGAACACACACACACACACATGTGAGGGACACACAGCCCCATGACATAGACACACACCTGGGGGCACACACACCCACCGGGAATACACACATCTGGAACAAACACACTCACCTGGGGACATGCACACCCCCGTAACACACACATACACGCCTGAGGGACACAGCCCCTGACACAGACACGCACCTGGGGACACACACACACACCTGGGGACATGAACACTCATTCTCGGGGACACACACACCCCTAGGACACACACATACGGCCAGGAGGACACCCAGCCCCTAGCCGTCCCCAAGGTCACTCTGTGTCCCCAGGGCTCCCATCCCCTGATCCCAGCACGGCCACTCCGGAGGCGGCCGCTGGCCCCGGGCACCCGCTGTCACCTCTAATTGGACCATGTCCTGCCCGTGCCGAGGCAGCGGTGACGGGCGGGTGTGCCCGAGGGTCCCAGCGGCTCTGTGTGGCTTGTCCGTGTCCCTCTCCGAGCAGTGCTGTTACTCAGGGGACACCCCCTCTTGGGGCCACCTGGGCTCTGGGGACAGGGCCATGGTAAGGGTGGCACCCCAAGCGGCCCCACTGACGGCGGTGCAGGGACAGGGAGCCTCTCGTGGCTGGGCTGATTTGATAAATCAAGCGGCGTCGGGGTGGGAGGTGGTGGTGGCAGAAAGACCCCGTCCCCGGGTTGGGGACATTGGGGAAACACACAGCAGACGGGGAGAGATCACAGCTCTGCTTTACCATGTTGTCACCCGGCGGGGAGGGGCAGGACGGCGGCTCCCCCCGCCCCAGCACAGCCCCCCGGCCCGGGGCCGTGCGGACACCGCGCGTCGGTACAGCCGGACCCCCCCGGGACCCCCGGCAGCGCCCCAGGGCGGGCAGAGAGCAGCGGCGGGACAAGGGGGGCACAGCCGGGGATGGGGGTGCCGTGGGGCAGAGCGGGGGGCACCCCCAGCCTCTTGCCACTCCCAACCCTCTGCAGCCCGAACCGAACCACGGCCCAGGGACGCCGTGGGGCTGGGGGTCACTGCGGGAGGCCGGGGCGGTGCCGCGGGGCTGGGCGGATGCGGGGGGCGCCGGGGGCGGTGCGGCGGCTCCGGGCTCAGTCCGAGTAGATGATGAAGCCGGAGAAGGTGCTGTACTTGTTGTTGTTGCCGCCGTGGGCTTTGCCCCCGTCCAGCTTGATGAAGACCTCGTCCCCCGCGTCCAGGTGCAGGATGACGCTGTTGCTGGCGTAGTCGTAGTTCTGGTCGGCGTCCTGCGCGATGGCGCTGGCCCGGACCTGCCCAGGGGACAGCGCGGGACCGGCTCAGGGCACGCCTCGGCCCGAGGATCCCACGGGACACGCCGGGTCCCGCCTCACGCACATCAGATCCACCCGCCCCGGGGCAGCGTGGGGTGCCCTGGATCCCCCGCCGCGGGTGAGCGGGCCCCGGCTGGAGGCGGCTCCGCCGAGCACCGCCCGGAGCCCCCCTGACCCTGCGGGCACCGGCACGGGACCGCGGCTCTGCGTTTGACGGGGGACAGCGGCACAGGCGTGTGACTGCGGCTCTGGGCCCAGGTGCAGGACTACAGCCCAGACACAGGACCTCAGCGTGGTACAGGACCACAGCTCTGACACGGAACCCCAAATCCAGGTTTGGATACAGGACCGTGGGACTCTGGGTCAGACACGGCACCACAGCTCCACAGTGCCGTGGGGCAGAGCGGGGGGCACCCCCAGCCTCTTGCCACTCCCAACCCTCTGCAGCCCCGAGCCCTCGACCGGCAGCCCTCGTGTGAGCTGACGGGAAAGGGGGGCCCGGGGCACCGGAGGGAGCGCGGGGAGGGGGGATCCGTGGGCTGGGCGGCGGCGGGGGCTGCCGTGGGGCTGGGCAGGAGCGGGGGGGGAGCTGGAAGGTTTGGATACAGGACCACAGCTCGGACACGGAACCCCAAATCCCGGTTTGGATACAGGACCGTGGGACTCTGGGTCAGACACGGCACCACAGCTCCACATGGCACCACGGCTCTCCCACAGGACCCTGACTCCAGCTTTGGATGCAGGACCCCAGCTCAGACACAGGACCCCATCTCTGGGTTTGGATACAGGGCCATGCCTGGGACACAGGACCGCATCTCCCAGCCCAGCCTCAAAGCAAACACTGAATTCTGCATCCCGCAGCGCTTCCCAGGAGCTGCACGGGGACCGTGAGCGTGTGGCGAGGGCTGAGCTCACATCCCCCGTGACACGGACCCGCACCCACTGCGGGGCAGGATGCTGCCCCCGGAAAGGTTTCCTGGGTGCCGGCAGAGCCAGAGGAGCCGTCACCGCCTGGAGAAGCGGTTCCGTGGCTGGAGCCCGCTGCCGCTGCAGAATTCTTTGGCTAATCAAATCTCCGCCGGCGCCTCGCGGGGCGATCGCGGCGCTGGGTGACAGTGACAAGGCGGCTGCTGAAATCCCAAGTGAAATGCAGAAGCGCTGCGCCGGGAGAAGGTGCCGCTAATTACAGCCGACGAGAATCGGCTCTTAATTGGCTCGCGCGGGGCGGGCAGGCACCGGCGAGAGGCTGCGGTGTCCCGGAGCGCTGGGAGAAGGACGGCTGTCCCCATGCAGTCCTGTCCTTTGCCCCCAGGACAGGAGTCCCGGGGGACCACTCCTCCCCAGCTGCACCCCCCCGAGCCCACCGGGCAGCCTGCGATGCTGGGGTGGGACGCTGTAAACTCTGGAACCTACACGCGGCCAGGCTGGTGATCCCACAGGACTTGCCCACGCAGCCGTGTCCCTCATGCCACCAGCAACACTCACCCTGTTAAAAGTCACCCTGTGTCTACCCTGCCACCGCGAGGGTCCCCATTCCCGGCGGGGGACCCTGAATCCCAGTCGGTCACAGCGCCCCACCTCTCCTGGGCACTTCTGCTGCGGAACAGGAGTGAAGGAAGAAGCCGTGAGGAGGGAGAGCCAGAAAAAGCCATTTGGCGCCGGGCTCCCACCATCGTTCCCCCCCCACAGCTGGAGCTGCCCGGTGCCATCCGTCTTCCCTCGTTAAGGAGCCGCCTCATCACGGCGCGCCCGCCAGCCCTCGCTAACCAGGGAAGATAAATGGCAGCGCTGGGCCCGGGCTGAGCCGCTCCAGGCACCGCAGTGGCACAGGAGTGGCGCTGCCACCACGGCCCTCCGCGATGGCCTCACCCCCTTGTCCTGTTCTGTGCCTCAGTTTCCCCATGGCACAGCCGGGAGCTGGGAGTCGTGGAGGTGGCATGGCCCCAGCCTGGGCTCTGCTGCAGCCGCTCTCCCTGACCCCAGTGACAATGCTGGGGGTGTCCCCGGTGCTGGGGACACTCTGGAGTGGTGTCCAAGGTGGCTGCAGCCAGGAGCTTTCAGGCACACAGGGGACAGTGGGGTGCTGCCATGTGCAGTGACACTTGCGGCCTCGGGGACACCACGTGCCACCATGGCCCAGCACCCCCGAGGTGAGGCAGCAGCTGCCCCTTGAGACCCCAAATGCAGTGGCAGATGCTCCTCAGGATCCTCGGGCACAGCTCTGGATGCCCTCCCAGCAGCCCCGGGCACAGCTCTGGGTGCCCCCCTTCAGATCCCCCTGGGCACAGCAGCAGGTGCCCCCCAGGGCCCCTGAGTACATCAGCAGATGCCCCCCCGACCCCCAGACAGGGCAGTGGGTGCCCCCAGGACCCCCCAGCATGTCCTTGTGTATCCTTGGGGACTGTCCCCAACAGTCCCCTGGGGCTGTGACCCTCCCTGAGCTGGGGATGGCCTTCTACAGCATGGGGACCCCAAAAACCACCTGGTACCAGCCCTGTCCACCCATCCATTTATAAGTCAATCCATCAATCAGTCCGTCCCTCTGTCCGTACACCTCCTCCCTCCCACTGCTCTCACCTCAGCTACGTGATAATACAAATAATAATTAATGCTAATTAACCACCAGCAGCAGCTCCCCTGGCTCTCATTAAATCCAGCCCCGACCCAATGGTGATGGGCAGCCCCCAAACCGGCAGCACCCGGGGGATTTTTGGGGACCAGAGGGGGCCCCCCAAGTTCTGACTTGCTCTGATTGTACCAGTGTCGACCTTTGTCTGCTGGGAAGCCCAAACCGTGCCAGGGATGGGGGATTTGTGGCAGCAACCCCCTAAATAACCCCATTTTTAAATTATTTGGGCCATTGAGGGGGATCTTCTTTATAGATATTGATGCGGCGATGCCTTGTTAGTAATTAACAAGCAGTTAATTAAGTTGCATCACCAGCCTGAGCACAGCTCCTCTTGACAAGGGACTCCACAGCTTCTGGAAATTCATCCAGGAATGTCGATGCCCCGCAGAGCTGGGGGGGTAGGAAGGTTTGGAGTGCCCCCCCAAAAGATTTTGGGGAAGGCCAAAGGGATGAGGTGAGTTTTTGGGGTGCTCAGTCCGGAGTTACACGGATGCTGCTTGGGAGAAAGAGCCAGAAGTGCCAAGCGGCGCTGGAACCCCCAAAAATTTAAGGCTGGATGGCGGGGGAGGACAAAAATAATCTCAATAAAAGGAAATTTGAACTGTTTGGATGGAGAAAAGCTGCCGAGCGGCTCCTGCTGTGCTCCCGCTCGGAAGGGCTCGGGGAGGGGTGAGGCTCCCACTCCTGCCTCACACCCCGGCTGTTTCTGCGGTGATAACTCAGTTTTGGGTTAATTCGGGCTCCTGCATCCTCAGGACAAGGATGGATCGCGGGCTGTGATGCCGGAGGAAACGCCAGGAAGCGGGAGCAGAGTGGATGATCCCGCGGGAATGCCGGCTGCGGTGACATCCAGGGGAACTGAGCTCGGGTGGCATCCCGGGGGTCACAGCCACATCTTGTCCCTCGAGTCGTGGCCGGGAGGGGGACATGGCGTGGGAAAGGGGCACCCGAAAAGCGTGTGGATGGCGAGGCTGAGTCCTGGCATTGGGGGTTCCAGCGGGATGAGGTCGGGGGATGCGGGAGAGGGGAGGGGGAAGGATGGAGCCACCCCCGCGGTGTGTGTCCCCCGCGGTGTCCCCACGCAGCCCGTCTCTCCTGACCCAGCAGCGGCAGCAGAGCCGGCTCGGGGCTGGGGGTGCAGCCCCCCAAAAACGGGGCAGGCACTGCCCCCCTCGAGGCCACCGCGGACACTATCCCTGCTGAGGAGCCCTGTCCCCGCAGGGACCTCCGCGGGGACAATGGCATGGCCGGGGGGGCACCCCGGGGACGCTCTGGGGGTGCCCCAAGGCACGACAAGACATCACGAGGCACCCCAAGGAACATCTCCGTGACCAAGGAAAGAGCTGAGGGAACCCCCGGGGACACGTCAGGGTGGATGGTGACTGTCCCCAGCACTGGGAGAGGGACAGGGAACACAGAGCAGTGTCTGGGAACGGGAGGAGGAGGAGGATGGGACACCCAGGGGTGCACCCGGAGCCCTGCACTGTCCCTGGGAGAAGGACAGGGCACCCCAGGGGTGCTTCTTGAGGGAGGGGAGCAGGATGGAGCACCCCGGGGACACAACCAGAGCCCGTCATTGTCACTGGAAGCAGGAAGGAGCATCCTGGGGGAGCATCTCCAGCACTGGGAGAAGGATGGGGCACGCTGAGGATGCAGCTCCAGAGATGGGAGCAGGACAGAGCCCCTCGGGGGTGCACCCCGAGTCCCTGATGGCACTGTGAGGAGAACAGGGCACCCTGGGGTTACAGCTCCGTGCCCAGGAGAAGGATGTGGCACCCTGGAAACGCACACAAATCCCATCATTGTCACCGAGAGAGGGACAGAACATCCTGGGGATACATCTCTGGGGGTAGGAAAAGGACAGGGCATTCTGGGGGGGCACACAGAGCCCATCTTCACCACTGGGAAAGGATCAAGCACCTCAGGGGTGCATGTCAGGGTCTGGGAGAAGGATGTGGCATGCCAGGGATGAACCCAGAGCCCATCAATGCCACTGGGAGAAGGATGTGACACCCTGGGGATGCATCTCTGGGGCTGGGAAAAGGATGGGGCCCCTGGGGAAGCACCCAGAGCCCGTAATCAGCACTGGGAGAAGGATGTGGCACCCTGGGGGTGCATCCCTGGGGCCAGGAGAAGGATGGAGCACCCAGGAGTGCACGGATGGGGCCGGGAAAAGGACGGGGCCCCTGGGGAAGCACCCGCGGTCCATCATCAGCCCAAAGAGGATGTGGCACCCTGGGGGTGCATTCCCGGGGCCAGGAGAAGGACAGAACACCCCGAGGAAGCACCCATAGCCCTTCTCCCGTGCTTGGGGACAGCAGAGCTCCCGGTCCCGCGGAGGGAGCCGGGATGGGCAGCCCTTACCTGCCCGTTCTTGCAGAGGTCGGCCCACATGCTGGTGCCGTCGCCGCCGCGCATGAGGACGTGGTAGGTGAAGAAGTAGGTGCCGGGGATGGCGCAGGTGAACTTGCCCGAGGCGGCGTCGTAGCTGTTGCCCAGGTTGGTGACCACGTCGTCGAACTTGAGCACCTCGTAGCCCTCGTGGGGGTTCTTGAGGCCGGCGTAGAAGGCGACCCGCGGCACCGTGCTGTAGGTGGCCGCGCTCACCGCGCCCGTAGCCCCCGGTCCCGGTAATCCCGGAGGTCCCGGTCTTCCTGCTTCACCCCGCGCCCCCACCGGCCCCGGCGGTCCCGGTTCTCCGGGCGGTCCCGGTGGTCCCGGTTTCCCCGGTCTCCCCGGTTTGCCTTGGGGACCCTGCACCAGGGTGGAGGGCGGCGAGAGGGGACCGCGCTCGGCCGGTTGCGGGGGGGCGGCGGGGCCGTAGGGCTCGCAGACCATCCGGCAGGTGCCCAGCATCTCGTACCGGCCGTCGGTACCGGCGGAGCTCACCAGCACCGGGATGAGCACCACCAGCACCAGAACCATCACCACCCCCGCCGCGGCCGCCAGCAAAGTTTTCCGGCCCAGGCTGAGCCGCCGCCCGGCCGGGGCGCGCTGGCGCCCGGGGGAGGGAATGGTGCCGGCGGGGGGGAGCAGGGCGGCGGCGGCGGGGGGGCTCGG